ACTCCATCCATGCCTAAATGAATTGCGTGGTCGTCTCAGGTTGCGTTATCGTTTGACCAATGGAAGTAACTCTGACCGTATTGATCCATTGTACGAATTGACATTTCCTAACCTCCTCCTATTTGAAAAATTGCGTAAGGAGAGGTAAGTGCATGAAAGTAGTGATTAGTGGTACCCAAAAAAAAGATACTTACGACGAAATCGTCGTCGTCAATGTTAGGACACACGAAGCATCTTTGTCCTCGAGTTCGTTATCTTACGGACCTTATCACCTGACAACGGTCACCACAACGACACTCTGGACGTTCCCGCCATGTGGGGAGTCCTAGGGGGTTTACCTGCCATTCTAGAGCTTGTTCTTGAATTGCTTATAGAAATTAGCACCCATGTGACGCATGCACCACCGACTCCGAAGGTCGGGCCACTTAGCTGGAATTCCCTTCTCATCCTAACCGTTCTGCAAGTAGTCAATAGCCCGCAACATGCCCGCATGATGATCATGTATAAGGCAGACATTGGGCCTCATATGCACGACTTCCCTTCGCACTCTATCCAAGAACCAGTACCAGCTTTCAGTGTTCTCACTCTCTACAAATGCAAAAGCCATTGGTAACACCTGATTGTTCCCATCAACTCCAATCGCTGTCAATATCTGACCTTTGTGTTTAACGGTCAAAAAAGTTCCATCTATGCATAATACTGGCCGGCAGTGCACAAATGCGTTGATGCAAGCACCCAATGAGAAAAATGCTCTTTGCAGCACACTCTTGGTAGGATCAACAGTAAAATGGAAATGTATGCACATCATAGTATGTATTGCTATTCCTCTAGGCAATGGTGGCTAACAGACGCTGCAAATTATCATATGATGCTTCAAAAGTGCCATACCTCATCTCTAAAACCTTATGTTTTGCTCTCCAAGCCTTGGCATAGGTTATGGTGTACTTGAATTTGTCTTCAATGTGGCTAATAATTGCTCTTGGTTCAAAGCCAGAGTTACCGACAACACTGTTGTACATCTCACTTGCAACAAAAGCTGATGTGATGTTGCGGTGATACTTCTCCACCCCTTGTAAGTGGCACTGGTGCTCGGTCACAATGCTAACTTTCCAATAATCTTTCCATTTACCCTTATATGCATGAACCCGCCACGGACAATCTTCTTTCACGCAACTTACTTCATACACATAATTGGTTGACTTGACCACCCTAAACTCTCTCATCAATGAGACTGCCCAATGCTTCACTGCTGTCGACGTTTGATGTCGCGATTCCGGTATTTATATAGTATGGGGATCATTGGTACTAGGATATATGCGAGATTGTAGTAAAAAAGATGGAGATGAGGATTTTTATACAGGTTCGGGCCCTTGAATTGTCAGGTAATAACCCTACTCCTGTTGGCCGAAGCCGGTCATTGCTCTTATTTACCATAATCACACCAGTACAATATTTGGGGTAGCCTATCTATCTGTTGTCGACATGGCGGTCTGAAGTGCTGACACGTAGTCGACAACAGGGTAGCCTTCCTCCTCTAATCCTTGTCCGGTGAGATCAGAGACAACGCTATGTCTCTCCTATCAGTATCCGTAGACACCATAGGGGACTAGCCATGCTTACCTCTGAAGTCCATATCCGACATCTTGTCTTAGCGCATGTTGGCTTGTATGTTGATCTTGTATCTTGATCTATTGTTCCATGTCCCCTCTCCTCCTAGGGGGCCTTGTATTTATACCCATAGGTGTCCCCCTGTCCAAATAGAACTAGGGAAACCAATATGGATACAATCCGAGTAGTCCTTGTTGTTTCCATGTAGAACTCTAGTTGTCTTTCCTTATCCGGAACTCCTCCTATATCCGAAGGTTGTTTCCGTATAAGACATGGTATGTGGTGGGTCCTGCCGAGATTTAGTCAACTATTATTAGGTATGTGGTATCCATAACCTTGACAACTGCCTTCTTCATATCCTCCTTATGAGCATATGTAGCACCCTGAATTACCTCGTTGTCCTTGTATTCCCAGGGTACATGATGCCCCTCTGAGATAACAAGTCCTGAGAAGTCCTCGTTTGTCTAATCAGTGGGCATTACATCACCTTTCTCGTCGGATGATGCATCGCTCTTCGCTTGCTCGTTATCCGAATCTTCCCTCTCCATTTCATCAACGATTGTACTGATTCTCTCCTCCTCATCCACTACACCCATGGCCTGCATCACCCCGTGTCATTTCCCTCATTTTCCCCCGATGGTTCAATATAATCCCCAACATGGCTTGGACCCTCGACATCTTTGGTTTCCATTGCAAGATTTCTATCATTTTCATGCACTGACACAAAAATAACCAAGGGCCATGACCTTTCAAAAGCCATCTCCAGATACCGTTTCCAAGCAACAGTGATATGCATCGGCATGAGTTCCCAAAAATAACCTTCCGTTGCACGACTCACTACAAACAGATACTGACATTGTGTGGACTTTTAAGTCTATTCTAAATCCTCGCTTCAACCAATTATAAATTGACTTAAATGATCTCTCAATAGGCCTATCGATGCCCTTTAATGTCATTACAAAATCTGACAGATCAACACATACATGACCAAATCTAAGGTTGCCTTCACCGTGAACTATCTGAAACATGACCTTACTTGACATTGTGCCTGATGAAAAACTAACTAGGTTAACTAAGTTCATATCATACTAACCAGATCTAACGCCGCATTCATCAATACATACTACGCCCTATCTCTTCAAAAAACATACTACGCCTTAAGTTAAAGACCCTACACATAAGTTGTTTGCCCTATGTCTCAAATTCTAAAAATAGGGTGTGTGTGCTCCAGATCTACTAAAGTATATGGTAATAAAACTAAAATGCAAAAAAAACCTGGAAACACATTTCGAAGGAATATATTACCTGTGATAGAGTCAACAAACCAGCAGGGCTTCGCTGCTCCCCTTCTCCTCCCCCCTCACCCCTCCCTCTTTCTCTTTTTTCGGATTTTGAGCGAATAGAATGAAAAATCAGAGAGGGGGAAGGGGTTTTATACTTGGAGGGGCTAAAATCGCCCTCCCTAAGGGCGGCAAGGGGGCCGCTTGCAAAATGCCAGGCTGCCTCGCCGCCCTTTTGCAAGGGCCTCCGCACAGTGTTAAACCGCCCTCCCTAAGGGTGGCAAGGGGGCCGCCTGTAAAAAAAGCCAGGCCGCCCTCGCCACCCTTTTGCAGGCGGCCTCCGCACAGTGTTAAACCGCCCTCCCTAAGGGCGCAAGGGGGCCGCCTGCAAAATGGCAGGCCCTTTTGCTGTCCGTTACTTATGAGGCAACAGCCATCTGCCATGTCATTAAAATCGCCCTCCCAAAGGGCGCTGGGCGACTAGTTTTGTAAATTTTTGAAACACAAAATTAGTTTTGTAAATATTTTAATAAAAAATTAAAAATAAAAAAAATTGTTTCAAGTCTAACTGGCTTCGCCACATGCTGGTGAAGGGACTTTGCTTCGCCGCTTGGTAGATGCTTCGCCGCCTGGTATTCACCTTCACCACTGGCAGGTGCTTCGCCCTTTGGTACTTTGCCTCACAACTTATTGATTGTTTTGGAAGGTTCGGTTGAAGGCACTTGTGATATGCCTATAACACATATAAAGTTTAAATCTACCATGGATTTGAGATGTGGAGTTGTGCCAAATAGTACCACATACACTTTTCCCGTTGTCTCTTCCTCTCACGCTGCAATGCGCTCACGACACAGCACCCCTACCTAGTACCTTTCTCAAATGTCAGCGAGTCTCTCCCTAACACAATATGATACGGAGTCAACAATCTTTAACCATACCGTTATTACCTCTAGTCAACAGTATATGATTCAAACAAGCCACAAGGAGAAACAATATCGTAAGACAATGTGAGTTTTTAAACTAAGAATTTGAGAAATTATTGATGGTAGAAATTTCAAAAGTATAGTTAAATCTAGTCCTAAACGTCAAATATTTTAGAAGCATACATACTGTTGCCTAATGTGACATGAAGTTACGCATTAACATATGACATGAAGTTAAGCATTAACATACTGTTGCCTAATGTGACATGAAGTTACGCATTAACATATGAAGGTGATATCGTATATCATAAATTGCTACAATGATATAGTTATCGCCTACAAACTTGCTATGTAAAAACTCATTTCTTTAATACTATCAATAAGAATCTCTTGATTTTTCAAAAGAGAAAATTTATCTCATCTCTGACATTTGGCGAAGAGTGTCTCATCATTTTGTTAGTTGGCTTAGGAAGAGGATCCTCTAACTTACTTCCCTCTGACTTTGAGTCACTGAGGGAAGTAAGTTAGAGGATCTCAATCCGTTGGGTTATCAACCATGCACAACCATGATCTAAATTTTAAAAACTTAATTCAAGTTTATTTTCTGTTTTTTTTCACCATAATTTTTTCCATCATTTAATTTTAAGTCCCTAAAAATATAGTTATAAAAGTTTACTCATAATTAATACTTTTTTATTGACTCATTTATTATTTTCATGGTTTATCATTCGTAGAGTAAACGACCGAAAGTGAGAAGCATACGACACACAAGATTTATCCATGTAACAAAAGAGTTTATCATTTATTTGATCGATGATTCTATGCCCTTGTTTAGTCCTCAACTTTTTTTTTCAAACTTCCAACTTTTCCATCACATCAAAACTTTTGTTTAGTTCCCAACTTTTTTTTCAAACTTCCAACTTTTCCATCACATCAAAACTTTTCTACACATATAAACTTCTAACTTTTCCGTTATATCGTTCCAATTTCAATCAAACTTTCAATTTTAATGTGAAGTAAACACACCCTATATATCAATGTGTTGGATTAAAGCTGGACGAAGGATTGAATTGTGAAATATACAAAACAAACAACTTAGCTGCAGTCAAGAGTGTGGGGGTAAAATCGAGAGAAGCCAAATTTGGAAGAGGAGGAATCATCAAAGGAGTGTCCATCTCCTTTGCAAGAAGCAGTGATGTGATGATGGTGAAATGGAAGAAGTTGGCGTTTGGGAAAAAAGGTCGCTTTCGAGGTCGAGCAGAGAAAAAAGGGAGGCCTTTGCGAGGCGAGGAGAGCGAGACCCCTGTGATCCCAATTAACCACCCGCCACCGCCACGCCGCCGGCGACCCCCTCCTCGGCGAGATCGAGATCGAGATGCCGCCCACGCCGCCGCCTGAGCTGGACCTCCTCGACACCGAGCCGGAGTTCGCCGAGGTTGACCCCACCGCCCGCTACGGAAGGGTAATAATGCCTTCTTCTTCTTCTTCTTCTTCTTCTTCTTCTTCTTCTTCCTCGATTCGCTTCTCCTCCCATCCTTTCGACTCATTCGGTGATGCATGCCGCCTCTTGCAGTACACGGAGGTCCTCGGCAAGGGCGCCTTCAAGACGGTGTATCCTTCTTCCCACGCTCGATTTCTGGGCTTTGACGTGCGATTCCGTATGGTTCCCGGGCCGTTGTGCTGCGTCTAAGATTCGATTTTGGTGCAGCTCATGGTGTTTGTTTCGGTTCTGGATGCATTTTTTTCTTGGGGAGGATAAATAATCTTCAGAGCTTTTTGATGCGCTGAATTCACATTCCTTCGACTTTTTTTACCTCTCCTCTTTTGGGATTTGAATACTAGTATTTTGTTTTGTTGATTTCAATGTGTGTTTGGCATTGCCTGCTATGATTACTTGAATCAACATTGCCAATTTGTCATGTCAAGCTCCCATTACCTCTTTCTAGACTGAATGGATCTCTTTCATTTCTCTCTTCTTATCGGGTGCATTTGATTGGTTGGCTAGTGTTCCAATCAATTTACATCCTCCTATGATCTATCTCACATTTGTTCTAATTCAACAACTGATTTGAGAAATGCACAGGGAAGCTGCTGTGAATCTTTGGTTGGTTGTTTTGTCATAGTGTGTTTTAGTATGTCACTCAGAACTGTCCACGTCCATTAAGGCATTAACTACCGTCAGGATTCCAACTGCTCTTATATGTAAAACTAAACTATGTTGCTACTTTACACTATATATGCAGAAGGGTAATCTTCATGATGACTACCAGCTTGATAGAATAATTTCATATTATCATCATGTATTTGTAGTGTTATCAAGGTTATGTACTTATGTCGTTTTCATGTGCACAGTTCATTTACTTATGAATGTCAAACCTGATACGATAGCAAAACAAACTTCTTCCTAGGTGTTTGCAGTATTAGTTCTTTTTTTTTTAAAAGATGTTTGCAGTATGCTCAAAACAAAGCATGTATCTTTGTGAACTTCTCCTGTTATTTTCTCCAATTTCGACATGGACTTGAGATCCTTAATTCAAATTTTACTGGCATAGCTATAAGGCTTTTGATCAACTGGAAGGTCTGGAAGTTGCTTGGAACCAGATCAAAGTGGGTGATATACTTCGGAATAATGATGACTTGGAGAGACTTAGATCAGAAGTCCGGTTGCTGAAGACCCTCAAGCATAAGAATATAATCAAGTTCTACAATTCTTGGCTCGACAAGAAAAACAACAACATAAATTTCATCACAGAAGTCTTCACATCAGGGACACTGCGCCAGTTTGTTCTCTTGCTCCCATCTGATTATAACTATGCTCTTTGAATAATATGAACAAACTGCACTCTGTCGCTGACACGTCTTATTTAACATTAGTTAGCTGTGTATGTCAGTATTAAGTCAAAGAAAATGATACATTATCAATGAAAGTTTGTACTGGTTCTCAAGTTCACTCTTCGGGTCCTAGCATGGCTTCAATAACCAAAACAGGCAAATTTTGTAGAGCCAACCGGCATGCTAGACACATGCAGGTCTATAGGATGCCCAAATTTTCTCACTGAGAATTTTCCTATTTCTCTGTCATTGTTTAGGTACCGTATTAAGCACAAGAAGGTAGATGTTAGAGCATTAAAGAAATGGTCAAGGCAAATCTTGAGTGGCCTTGTCTACCTCCACAGTCATGATCCACCAGTAATTCATAGAGATCTTAAATGTGACAACATATTTGTGAACGGAAACCAGGGTGAAGTAAAGATTGGAGACCTTGGATTAGCAACCATCCTAGATAATGCACGCTCAGCTCACAGTATCATTGGTATGCATTTTATTTTCTTTTTATTTTACTAGGAATTGAATTTATTTTTCATATAACCTCTGTTTTCTTGTAGGCACACCGGAATTTATGGCTCCAGAACTCTATGATGAAGAATACAATGAGCTTGTAGACATCTATGCATTTGGGATGTGTTTATTGGAGCTTGTTACATTTGAGTACCCATATTGTGAATGTTCCAATGCAGCGCAGATATACAAGAAAGTATCTGATGTTAGTCTACTTATCCTCTCCATTGCTTTTACCATTTCTTTTCTGAAAATTGGATTTGATTAGGTAATGATCCTGTAGGCTTATATTGAAGGTGTATTTTATATATATTTCTTTTATCAAAAAGGTTTATTCATTGCTTACCCTATACCATCCTGGTGTAGGCAGAAGATGAATTTCCATTTTGAGAATTAAAAGCATGGTTTAAAGACAGTATCTAGGATTCTTTTTCTCAACGAGGATTGTGTTGAAATCATGGTTTATTGCCATACAAATTGCAGAAGTAGCTTCAGGGTTTTTCAGGTTTTTATTGTGTACCAGAAGTTGACTTAACTGTAGGTTTTAATTGTATTACTTTGGGCTGTCATAGTGGGTCCATTGATAAATTACACCATCATATGGGTGGTGTTTGAATAGTTTTTCTTTGTGACAGTTACTACCTTGGTCACAGTCTCACAGATACAAATTAACTATAACTTTCAGTAGCTATTCCTTGGAACACCATTGTACTAAATCCATTGGCAACTTAAAGTTTTTGATGAAATTACTTTGTTTTGTATGTGTCGCATATGCCCAAGGCAATTGATTTCCTATTTGATCAATCATCATTGTAGAAAATCATGTTACATTCTTTTTTTAAAACTTGAATCATGTTACACCCTATTACTGTCTCAATCTCTTGATGCTGGTACAACAGGGTGAAAAGCCTAGTTCTCTGGCTAAGATTGAAGATCCTGAGGTTAGATTTTTTATCGAGAAGTGCATCGCTAAAGCTTCACAAAGACTATCAGCACAAGAGCTATTGATGGACCCATTTCTCCGAGATGATGGTGAAAAAATATTCTATCCATTGCAGTCAAATACGAAGGCATCAGGTAATGACTGAATTGGCAACACTATAAAATTGTTCCCTTCCCCATCTGACCTTAGATAAACATGGCAGATGGTGCTGGCAGTTCAAACTCAAGCATGGGTTACAAATATGACAGAGATGCATCATCTATGGCAATTCGGGAGCACACAGGTAGAAGTTCAATGACGTGACAGTGATGTGAACACTATTGCATTGTTCTGAAGCTTCTCTCCTTTTTACATATCAATCTTATGATGAAATGCAGGTAGTTTTGCAGAAGAACACCCAAGTGATAGGTACATACACAGCACCATGGATCCACAAGCAGCCGCTGGTCGAATAATTACAGTCGAGAGTCAGATGAAAGATCTGAATACGATATTTTTGAAACTGAGAATTGCTGATTCAACAGGTTTTTTTTATTGTGGATTCCCATTTTACTTCTCATTATGTTGTTCGGTGTTTGTCCTCTATTACACTTTTTTGAAATGCAATATGCAGGTCATGCTCAAAACATCCATTTCCCATTTGACATTGAAGCAGACACTTCCATTAGTGTTGCAACTGAGATGGTCGTGCAGCTAGATCTCACTGACCAGGATGTTACAGCGATTGCAGAAATGATAGATGCAGAAATACGGGCTCATATTCCTGATTGGGCATTAGAAGAATCGGTTGAAAACCAAGGAGATGAAAGAGCTCATTCTGAGACCGACAGTTCAGAAGCAGATGATGAAACTTCTGAGTTGCGTAATGAGCCTAATGCTACACATAATGGTTTTGTCCAAGAACACCTTCCCTCCGGACATAAGTATTGGTCGGACTCGCCCAGAAGAAACATTGAAATGTCTCACTCCGCAGTCGAACCACATATTGGTGGTAATATGCCTAATGGGATATTGAAGAAGAATGACACTGATGACACAGTCAGCAATCTTGGCACTTCTGTGGACTTGCCAAACCCATCTATGATTGACAGGAAATCTGGAGTAGCTTCTGTCAGCACCAGTCCTCAGTCTTTTGATGATGAGCATATTGAAGCAGATGTTAGCGAGAGGTTAGTGAATTTGCTAGCTCAGCAGCAAGAGGAGCTCAACGTGCTGCGAAGGAAGCACAAGGCTGACATAGAAGTCATCTTGAAAGGTGTGCCTGAAGAGCATCGCGAAGAAACCTTAACTAGGTGCCGGCTGAAGGCAGATGAGAGAAACAGATCAGACAAACCTTAGCTGCAACACATTATCTTCACCGTGTGATTTTTTTGTACCGGTGCCATGGAGCTGTTTAGAACTATTGTTGTGCAAAAGGTGGTCTCAGCTGTTCACTGTTCTTTTTTTTTTCATGGAATGGAGGAGCTGCAAGTGTTTGTGGAATCTGTGACCAAGCGGTGCAATACATATACGATACTGATGTAGCTGTCTGGATTTTTGTTTTTGTTTTTTGTTTCTTGAAGGCAAGACAAAAGGTTTCTGCTCACCAAACAAAATCTGCAGATACCATTGTGTTACTGTATTCCTGAATTGTTCATGAGAAGTGCACCTCCTTGTTTTTCTCCCTCTCTTTTTTTCCTTGTAATTTGATGATTTTTGGAACTAAGAATTAATGTTAATGATGTAATACATCAGTGTTTGAGCTGTTTCATACTACTACTTGCAATGAAAAAACATAAGTTCCAATTACTTCCATTATGTTTGTGCCACATGCTTGCCCAAGTCCATAGAGCTGTACTATGCACTGATATCTATGATTGTTTGTACACATACCTGCATTTCTTATTGCAAGTGTGCCATGCATGGAGGATGGATGGAGCTGTGGAAGTCTCCACTCCATCTCCAGCTTCATCCACTGATGAGCAGCAGATCTGAAGTGGCCAATGGCATAAACAACAAACAATATATATGTGCAACACATGCTCCAGTAGCATCTCTCACATGCCCCAGATTTGTGTGTCCCCTTGCATCACATTTGCTGCTGCTCTTTTGTGTGCATCTATCTATATCTATCCCATTTTGTGTGCATCTGAATCTGTGTACCTGAAAACCTGAGGCTCCCCAACCCAGGGAAGGTTTGGGGATCCTAGCTGCTGCACACAGAATTTGGATCTGTGTTGATGTACAAAAAGTGGCATGAGCCATCCCTCCGATGCAATATTTTGGGATCTATTGTATATCAATGAATGATGATCAGTTCCTCCATACAAGGCAGGGAGATGTGGAAACTTGTGGACCATGAAAGCTGTTCATATATATTTTTTGCTCATCTGTCTCTCTCCATGATATTTGGACATGTAGTGTGTACATCACATATACTATTGATCCTGTTACATGTTGGTGTCAAAGGGCTATAGCTACATCAATTCATGGTAGCCTGGCTTTCAAATATGCATAATTGGCTAATTGCATTTATATTTAGGCATCATCTGATCAACGTAATGTTATCCATTTCAGGATCATGTGTATGGCAATTAGAATTAGTTCAGTCCATGATAGCATATGGATCCAGTGCATCAAACTGAGAAACATGTCCAAGTGCAGTTGAAAGCAAAATGACAACACCCCAATCCATGCACGTCGCTCTTAATCAGTAGTCTACTGTTTCATTTTTCACACAGATAGAAACCCAAACCAATTAAGGAGTAAAAGGCACATCATCAAGAACCCAATAAGGCAATAACCAAAACCACATCTTTGTGCAGAAAGACCAGGTTTTTACCCAAATACACATGCAACTTGGGTTCTATATATAAAAACTATACTCCATGAATGAATGAATCCATTCATGGTACTACTACAGTTGCTAACAAGGAAAATACTAGCTAGTATAGTACCCAAGTTGCAACTTGCAAGCAAGTCCAGGCCAAGCCATGAACAAATACTCTATCTATTTTTTAATATACGACGTTATTGATTTTTGACGTGACGTTTAACCATCCATTTTTTTTAATTATATAAATGCCATTTATTTAATTGTGACTTGTTTTATCATCAAAGTAATTATAATACTAACTTATACTTTTACATATTTTATACTAACATTTTTAATAAAAACAATTAGTCAAAACTTATGAAAAAAATCAACAACATCATACATCAAAAGACGCAAGTAGTACAAGCTAGCATGTCAATTTGAGTGAATGAAGAGATAAGCAATACTAATAATTATATTTATATGCATAATCTCTCTGTCTCGGTCATTGCTAGCTCAAGTCGATTGTTCTTGACAAGTTGAGAGCTCATCTCATCACCCACCCTATCATTGTTTCCCATCAACCTCTGCAATATAATGCAACCACCTCTCTCTCTCTCTCTCTCTTCTCCGTGCATTGGAGTATATATCCCCCTCTCCTCTCCCCGCCGCCCCCCCCCCTCTCTCTCTCCTCTCTCTTCTTCGCCTCCGATCATCTAAGCTCATCGTCGTCACCAGCTAGCGCATGACGTCATCCTCGTCGTCGTCGTCGTTGCTCCTTTTGTAGTACGTAGCCATCGATCGATCACAGCTAGCTAGCCATGCAGGACCACGTCGTCGTGCAGCAGAGGAGCGGCGACCAGCCGGCGCCGTCGTGCGACATCGCCGCCGACGAGATCCCGGTCAACGGCCACAAGCCGGGGAGGGCCGTCACGGCGTCGGTCTACCGCGCCAAGATCGCCGGCCACTCGCGCGTCCTCACCGTGTCGTGGTCGCGGGACATGCTGTCGCACTCCTTCGCCGTGTCCGTCACCGGCGTCGACGGCGCCTCCGCGGAGTGCAGGGTGGACCTCCGCCCCTGGCAGTTCTGGCGGCGCGCGGGTTCACGCCGCGTCGAGCTCGCCGGCACGGCGCCGGCCACGGTGCGCGTCATGTGGGACCTCCGCCGCGCGCGGTTCGGCGCGGGGCTCCCCGAGCCGAGGTCGGGCTACTACGTCGCCGTGGAGGCCGCGGGCGAGGTGGTGCTGGTGGTCGGCGACATGCGGAAGGACGCGCTCCGGCGCGCGTCGCCGCGCGCGGCGCCCGCGGCGTGCGACGCCGTCCCCGTGGCGCGGCGGGAGCACGTGTTCGGGAAGCGGCGGTTCGCGGCCAAGGCGCGGTTCCACGACCAGGGCACCGTGCACGACATCGCGATCGAGTGCGGCGGCGGCGGCGAGGGCGGCGACGCGGACATGGAGATGACGATCGCGATCGACGGCGAGGAGGCGGTGCAGGTGAAGCACCTGCAATGGAAGTTCAGAGGCAACCAGTCCGTCACCTTCAGCCGAGCAAAGGTGGAGATCTACTGGGACGTCCATGACTGGCTCTTCAGCGCCGGCATGCGCCCCGCCCTCTTCATCTTCCGCCCCATCGTCCTCTCCAGCGCCTCGGCGCCCGCCGCCGCCATGCTCCTCGACGGCTCGCCGCCGCCGCCGCCGGCCACCGGCTTCTGTCTCTACCTCTACGCCTGGAAGCTCGACTGATCCATTATTGAGCTAGCTAGCTTCTTTCATTGGCGGCTGGCTCTGATACCATGTTGATTAGATCGGGGATTCTTGATCGAAACGAAAATGCGAAGTTGTGAGCCAAAGGGGAGGAGGAGTAAGAATTTTTTTCGATTTTGTATAATTTTTTTGAGGAAGGAAGGAAACATATATAATTGGATATAATTAATTAATTCTTCTAATTAAGAGCCCTTGCATATACATACATTATTGCTCCATTCTCTTGATCAGCTCAATGACAATAACAAGAGACATGATAAAATAGTAATGCCATTGCCAAGAGGAGAGCAACCTAGTGATCTCCTGTTGATTCATTTGAGATCTCTTGTAGTAGATCACAGTACTGGGCTACTGTCTAGTCAAAACTCTGTTTCACCTCTCTCTGATCAGTTAGTTCCTGCCAGACAAGAAGTTGATGTTTTAGTTATGAGATAACCACACCACATATTCAGTGATCAGTAATGTACATGCTAGCTGTGCGTATAACACTTTATAACTAAGCTGTCTTACAGTTAATTGCATATGCAAGAGAGAGAGAGAAATCAAGGTTTGCATTGCAAATGTGCAATGTGTTTGTTGGGTGGGCAGCACATGGGATGATGAGGGAGAGTGGGTTCCAGTGATGAGCAGCAGCAGCTGTGGACTGACTCATCAGACTGATGACTACTGATCCAAGAAAAAATATATATATTGGCCACCGCAAAAGGTGACAGATTGGATCCACCATCCTAATCTTCTTCTTCTTGGCCCCTCCCAATTGATTAATTCTTCCCTATAATCTGCCAAATATTCACATTATTAATCCAGGGTATCCTAAGTGATCGATTGATGCCTCTCACCTCTTAGTTCCTGATGATGATCACCTTCTGAATGTGGAGATCTCTATGCATATTATCCTTAATTAAACACAGTTTATGCATAATTTGTTTACGAATGGTAAAGGAGTTTCATAGAAAAAAAAAGAGATTTTTATTGGATTCTAATATTAAAATTCCTGTTTGCTCACCTGACATGTGGGCTCTACCGAAAATACCTACTGTACTGTAGTTTAGTTGCGCAAAATGAAAAGTTTGAATATATAATAATTCCACATGAGATTGTACCTAGACAGTTTGTCATGAGAAATTGATTTGCAAGGTTGTATCCTATTTATTATCTTACATATGAGACGTGTGTGTGTTGGTGAGATGCCAAAAGGCTGTAAAGATTCCATCAAGGGAAAACAATGGAGGAAAATGGGGATAAACAAACTACATCCAATTTGTTCCCTTGCTAGCAGCTTGCATCTGTTGGAAGATATAGCTGGTGCCAATCAACACTTTGATTGATAGAATTAACAAGATTATATTCTGATTGCTGCCATTTGTCTCCAAGGCATTTGTTCAATCCCCATTAGTTAATATACAACAAAAGGATATCATTAGTCCACTGGTTTAATGTAGACAAGAGGAAATGTTAATCTTTATCCTTCCATTTCTGTTTCCAGAGCAGTGACTGTTTGACTGACCTAGAGGGTGAGTTCAATTTGTATTTTTAATTTGCAGATCAACATCCAACTAAATCTATGTCTTGTTCAGGAATGTGACTTGATAGGAGGGTACAAATTGTATCTAAACTCCTAAATGTACATTTATAAAATGAAAATATTCACAATAGCTACATGTAACAAATCAAATGGAAACAGCACCTAATCTGAACCATCCCCTTTGTTTTGAACCTGCAAAACAGTTTTCTGACACTCCACTGGACTCCTGCATTTGTTTGATCCCTTTTCCTCTGCACAAGCTAGTTTGGTCAAACCAGAGCTGGTTGCCTGTTTAGTAAGGTTCGGCCTCTGTAATCACAATTGACTTGTACAAAAAAAGCTACTAAGATAATTAAATAATTACTTACTGTTACTATTGTCTTTCTCAAGAAAGTATTCTATGGAGAAACTACTGACTTGTAGCAGAATGGGATCGAGCAAAATCAACACACATTGCAGCCGAATGTATTAGAAGAAAAAAAAGAGAAGAAGCTAATTAAGAATCAAAGACAAATGTAGTAGTAGCTAAGAAAGCTATGCTTGTGATCCAAGATATTATTGTAGCTAGCTGCAAGATCTTAAATTTGGTGTATGTTTGTGGACTAAGTAAGCAGCTAGTACTACTAAAATGGTGGGTAGCTAAGCTAGCTATAGCTTGGAATTGTGTGAAACTGATTTATGGGCTAGCATGCAGCTGGAGTACTAATTTAGTTTAGAGTCCATGCGTCTGTGTTTTGTTGTGTGCCCGGGATCAGCGGACAGGGGTCTTGCATTTGAGGTGGCCTGAAGAACTGAAATGTTTTTAATCCAACAACCCATTTGCACATGCATTTGCTAGCTGGTTTGCAATTGCTACATGTTCATCATATCAATTGAATTTGATAACAAGCTCACAGGTATGACTGAATGCATTGTAGTGATGTAGCAGCCATGTATGACAACAAGCTCACAGGTATGACTGAATGATTCAACATGAAATTAATTATTGAATTTAAAGAAACCTTTTCTTTCGTTACAATACATTCTCTGAATGACTATGCATACATATGGCCATGCATGTATATCGATAGATCTTGCGTAGGCACATTAGCAATTTGACATGTGTGGTTTCAACTATCTCCAGCTCCAAATGCTCAAGTTTACGCAACCAACGATAACTGAATAAATACAGCTTGTGTAGCTTGTAGCTTATGCAATCTAGCATGCTTGTTGCCATTCAAATGGAATTAGGTCGTCGATGAAATGCAGCCAGACTTCAGTTTTAATCTTTCCCCTTGTTCTAGTACTTTAAATATTAATTCATATGTGGCTGATACAGTGATATGGAGGAGGTATTAATTTGATGATAAAAAAAAGAAAAGAAAAGAAAGATGTGGAAGTGAAGAACTGAAGTAACTGAAGAAGGGAGAACTGAGGTAGCTCTACATGTGCTTTTTTCTTGGGATGCCTTTGTATAAACAAAGCAAAATGAAATGATCCAGTTATTGGTTATGGGGTGGACCATGAGTGACACGTCGCCCTGCCTCCCCTTTTGCAAGCTTTCAGCAGAAAGTGTCCATTTTTTGTTGGCCATCACCCATCTTTCTTTAATTCTTTTTTACTTGCCATTGTCAATCCACAGCAGGCAGGTAGGCACCACCATATGCATTTTTTTTGTTATTTTTTTCTTCTCAAAAAAATAAATGAATTTGAGATTGGGTAGCATTGAGTTATGTCGTTCGAGAAAGATACTACTGGTCATTTCGTGTGCCAAATTTTTTTTTAAAATACACGGACACACATTTAAAGTATTAAACGTAGACTAATAACAAAACAAATTACATATTCTGTCTGTAAACTGCGAGACGAATTTATTAAGCTAATTAATCCGTCATTAGCAAATGTTTACTGTAGCATCACATTGTCAAATCATGGCGTAATTAGGCTCAAAAGATCCGTCTCGCATTTACATGCAAACTGTGCAAATGGGGAATCGCTAGATCCGGATCCAGCAAGAAGGAGTCTGGATCTAGCGTCTCCACTCTTCATCAGGTCGACTCCTGCCTCCGTGAGTCCCTACAATACTGTGCATGGCGAGAGGGAGAGGAAAAAAAAGGTGGCTCATGGAGTGTAACTAGAGGGTGCGGTTGCGCGTGCAAAGACGGAGAGGAGGAACGATGGTGGCTCGTGAAGAAAGAGCGGTGGTGACGGTGCGTGGAGTAACAGTTGGTGGTTGTTGGCAGTATGAGGAGTTTGTTGTCGACACAAATCGCTAACCAAATTTGTTACTCCCTCCATTCCAAATTGATCTATATATTTCATAGGTACACCAAGACCAATAAATACTAATAACTCTCTCATACTATATTTACTCTAGCAACAAACTCAATGCATGCATAATCCCCACTATTTCCTAGCCAATAGTAAATCAAGATATTACATGTAGGTTATAAATACTTGTCTGCATAGATGCATGCATCAATGTCCATTTACTCCAATACATAAATAACGAATAGACTTAATAAATGAACACAAATATATAGATCATTTAGGAATAACCTCAAAAAAACTATAGGTAGATCAATTTGAAATGGAGGGAGTAATATTTAGAATGTGGGCCACTAGTCATTATAAAGCAACAGCTAGTCTTAAAGTAGTAAAATATTGAGATAAAGGTGAGAGTACTTGTATAGGGCTTTTAACTTTTTGCTATTTTTAAAATATGGTAATTAAAAATTTACTACTCACAGTCCATGATACGTGAGTCCTCATGTGTATATGACATGTGGGACCTAATAGCAAATTCTTAATTCCCAACCATAATGTCTTCCCCTTCCCTTTGTGTGGCGTAAAAGAAAGAAGAAAATCTCCCGTCTCTTTGTCTCCTCCGCTCCTTGCGCCGCCGCCAAGACACAGGGGAGGGGCGGCGATCTCCATTTGGCGAGGAGAGCAGAGCAGGGGAGGGGAGGGGAGGGGATCCTGGTGAGCCTCTTTCTTTCTTTCTGATTCATCTCTCTCTCCCCCATCGGGACTGGAATTTGCTTGCGTTCGTTCGTTCGTTAACCCTAGCTTCTCTTCCCTTAATTTCAGAGCCTTAACCTTAATACAAGTAATAGTTTGTTTGTTCCCCGAAAAGTCCCAAGTTGGATCCGCCCCTGATTACTCCAGTGATCTGGCACACATTCTATTTGCCCAAAAGATTTATAACTTCCCTAGCTACCAATAAGAAACCCTGTTCAGTTTGTGTTACAAGGAGCAAACTTGTGAGTGTTTGTTTGGCTCATTGTTCTTGCCAAACTCCCTTTTCCCGCTTTTTAGTAACCCCATCACATTATTACGATTTTTACAATACAACTGTGCTAGTTGGGTACATTGCCAGTTTTGTTGCTACTCCACTGATATGGTTTTTCTGTGTGCCAACCAGGTCATATTTTACTGCCCAGAGCACAGAAAATAAAAGATGGTTAATGCAATCAAGGGATTGTTCATCTCCTGGTAATTAAGCTCCTAACACAGGTTAATTCGATCGATTTTTGTTTCCTTTGCATAAGCAGCTTGCAATCCCTTCTGCAGTGATGTGCCAATGGCACAGTTCATCGAATGCTTCAATGCCCGCATCAGACAAGTTCATCTTGCACATGCTTGATCCAACGCACATGTTCGTCCAGCCTCACGTGGCGGATATGATCAGAAGTAAGATATCAGAGTTCAGGGACCAGAACAGCTACGAGAAACCATCATGAACTATCAAGGATCATCCTGTCCTCAGACTCCCATATAAACATACCACCGTTTGTTGTTAAGCCTGTAATGTGGAGTAGTGATAAGTTCTGAGCATCACATCTCACTCATGATAATCAAGAATGATTGACATTCGGTATCAGAATGCCACTTTTAGAGTGATAGATAATGCAACTGTGAGATTGTAATGGAATAACTGTATTTTAATATCAGAAACAAGTCGAGTTGTGATGGTGGAATTCGGCCGAATAAATCTTCCTGACTGACTGTCTGTCTGTCCATCCAGTTCTTGTGGAATTTTCAGCTGATATTAAATCTTGATGTCCTTTTCTCTTCTCTCTCGACATTATATTATATCATCTGAACTCCGAAGGATGGGATTTTGAGCATAATTGGAGAAGAGAGTCTGATGGCAATGCTGGTCTGTTGGCAGCTGAGAAATGCCCAGGGGTCTTCCGGCTAGCTCCACAAGGTGGTGGGCTAGACGACCTGGGTTCAAAGCCTCACCCCTCCTAATTATTTGATATTAGGTCCTTCCCTAATATTCTAGTTTTTTTGGTCTGTTGGCAGCTGAATGCCTGAATTTCTTCAATTCGCCGGAGCAGATTGGGGGGGAAGGCGACGGTTATTGGGCCGGGATCAAAGGCGGCCCATATTACGTGGAGCTGAACGGGGATTGCGGCCCATATTAATTAGTTGGGCCAAAAGGGGGATATAGATTCCTCGCGGCCCAACAATGGGATGGGGGGTCACGTGCGGCCCATATTAGTTGCATTAAGTTCTGCGTACAATTAACATACTATTTCCCCAGTTTCAAAAAAAAAAAAACTATTTCCCCTCTTCTCCTGCCTACTATTTCCATTGTCTGTCGGAATATTTTTATTAGTGACGAATGGTAAAAGATAGGAGTATATGGCATTTCACGCTCAGTTAGCATTCACATTGTTGATGTACAGTTGTACACTAGTAATTTCAAGTGAAAATTCAGAAGAAAGAAAAGGACTCTCTGTTTTTTACTAGTAAATTGTATATCAACCTTAACAGTGAGCATACAGGTCGTGAACAAGCTCAAAACAAGAACATATTTGCATTGCTCCAATTCTTCAGCCAGCGAGTTTATATTGACTTTTGCATCTTGTGCAGAAGAAAAATAGTATGTCAGAGAATGATGTATGCACGCAGATGACATGGTATGATGAACTTGATGCCCCTGTTTTACTCCAAGTAGAAACCATGGTCCAACAGACAACATCCTCTTTACGAAAGAGATGGCATTAACTTAACAATGGCACAGAGATAGAAATCGGTCCTCACTGTCTACTATCTTCAGCAGATGCAGGAACCACTATCTTGAAAAGCACTTACTGATGCAGATCGTTCATCCATCAGGTTGCAGTTGGTTCCATGTACAATCTTTCTTTAGTTGAGACTTCGCATGCTTGCATCCATTCTCGATTGCTTTCTTTCAGCCATGTTGATGCGCACTCAGATAGATCTATCTATCTATCTTCTCTCAAGTTGCAGCTATGTAACCAAGAAAAGAAAAGAAAAGAAAGCCATCTTTTCTGCAGCTCGATCTGCACCCAGCATTCATGCTTGAAAGCAAAGTCTCGGCCTGACATTCAGAGCAAAGCTTAAAGCCTTGGCATGATTCGGCAAACACTCAAACTGTTCTCACTTTCGGAGCCTTTGCTTCCAAGCAAATTAAATTGCCCGGATCAATGGCTACAAATACCCCATGCATTGCATGCATCCTCTCTTCAATTCAGAAACAGTTTCTTTCGTCTTCAGTTAAAAAAAGAAGAAGGAGAAGAGGAAAAATTCAGACAGAGATCGACATGGAGACGAAGGTGACCGTGGGCGTCGTCCTCCTGCTGCTGTGCCTGTGCGGCGGCGCCGCGTGCGCCGCCGGCCGCAGCGGCGGCGAGTTCTCCATTGTCGGGTACTCGGAGGAGGACCTGGCGTCGCACGACCGGCTGATCGAGCTGTTCGAGAAGTGGGTGGCAAAGTACCGGAAGGCGTACGCGAGCTTCGAGGAGAAGGTGAGGAGGTTCGAGGTGTTCAAGGACAACCTCAACCACATCGACGACATCAACAAGAAGGTCACCAGCTACTGGCTGGGGCTCAACGAGTTCGCCGACCTCACCCACGACGAGTTCAAGGCGACCTACCTCGGCCTCACGCCGCCGCCGACGAGGTCGAACAGCAAGCACTACTCGTCGGAGGAGTTCAGGTACGGGAAGATGAGCAACGGCGAGGTGCCGAAGGAGATGGACTGGAGGAAGAAGAACGCGGTGACGGAGGTGAAGAACCAGGGGCAGTGCGGCAGCTGCTGGGCGTTCTCGACGGTGGCGGCGGTGGAGGGGATCAACGCGATCGTGACGGGGAACCTGACGTCGCTGTCGGAGCAGGAGCTGATCGACTGCAGCACGGACGGGAACAACGGGTGCAATGGCGGCCTCATGGACTACGCCTTCTCCTACATCGCCTCCACCGGCGGGCTGCGCACGGAGGAGGCGTACCCGTACGCCATGGAGGAGGGCGACTGCGACGAGGGGAAGGGCGCGGCGGTGGTGACCATCTCCGGGTACGAGGACGTGCCGGCCAACGACGAGCAGGCGCTGGTGAAGGCGTTGGCGCATCAGCCTGTCAGCGTCGCCATTGAAGCATCCGGTCGCCACTTCCAGTTCTACAGCGGGGTCAGTATTAGTCCTGGCTTAGTTCTCCAACACTTTTTTCCAAAAACATCTCATCGAATCTTTATACACATACATAGAACATTAAATATAGATTAAAAAACTAATTGCACAGTTAAGGGAAAATCGTGAGATGAATCTTTTGAGCCTAATTAATCCGTCATAGGCTCAAAAGATTCGTCTCGCGGTTTTCAGGCGAGTTATGAAATTAGTTTTTTCATTTGTATCCAAAAACCCTTTCCGACATCCGGTCAAATATCCGATGCGACACCAAAAATTTTCTTTTTGCAAACTAAACATGCCCTTAGTATATATTATTCCTATCTTACTCTCTCTCTCTCTCTGTAATAAATATATTTAAAACGTTTAACATAAGTAAATATTCTGTCAAAAATTTAAAATTCTAACTATCAATTTTATATTAAAGTAAATTCCCATTTAACAATGCCTAAAATATGTTATGAACATAGAAAAGAAAACATACCAAGCCGCACGAGGAACATGACGAACAAACAATCACATGAGCTGTCTAAATCCGCTTCGTTCGCTATGGGCATCTTGAATTTTGCATTTACAAAATACAATAAGTTTATAATATTATGGTAGTACATTTGAACACAAATGTGCGTTTACCGTTTGTTTTGTCTATCACACTAAGCATTTGGAAAACTGTTAATGACCAGAATTTTAAACTCAGACTAAATTTTGTTATAAACGTCAAATAATTATGTTTAGGCGGACTTCTTTTTTACTATTTATCATATAAAAAAATATTTATAGCATCTTTAGAACCACATATTTGTATACCATTGTATGAGCCAAATGGATGATGAGCAAGTGATATTTATTAGTAGAATTATATGATGATCATGGATGGTGATATATAAATGCAGGGTGTGTTTGATGGTCCATGCGGTGAGCAACTGGATCACGGTGTGACGGCCGTTGGATATGGTACAAGCAAGGGCCAAGATTACATCATCGTGAAGAACTCATGGGGCCCACATTGGGGCGAGAAGGGGTACATCCGCATGAAGAGGGGCACTGGCAAGGGTGAAGGTCTATGTGGCATCAACAAGATGGCCTCTTACCCCACCAAGGACAACTAAACTCCTACTACTAAATAACTCAATTGAATCAACACATGAGGATCATACATATGATGGTCCTTCAAAGTTTCTCTCTTCTCCTCTTGTTTTATTAGCCTTTAATTCCACTGTTTTTTCTTCTTTCCAAAGATTTGGAGGAGAGAGAGAGAGAGAGAGAGAGAGAGAGAGAGAGAGAAGCACAAGCTGTTTGTTTGTATTCGATTTTCTTTTGCGCGCTTTGAAATCATCGATGAAATAATAAATGTCAGAAGCTTCTTTTTAAGATACTGTCTGTTCCAAAGTCATTCATAAGGGTGCTTGTTTGGTCAAGTTTTGTGTGCATTTGATTTTTGCTCCTGATGGTTTGGTTTTGTATGCAATAACGACTGAAATGTGTAGGACTTAGTCCAAGTCACTTAGAGGTACATAAGTACGAAAACTGAAAACACATGGGAGACAATATAGGATCACGCGGGAGAAAAATGTCATGAAATCGACATTTTGTACAAAGATGCGTGTAAATCTTTTACGTATTTCTAAACAATGAAATCGACATTTTGTAATTTGCTGCATACAAGCTATACTCTTACTCCATTCGTTAAAAAAAAAAAGTTCAATTATGTGTTCAGATTCATGTCTAAAATTAAATCTTATTTTGACGGAGGAAGTAGAGTCAGCATCTTGTTTTGAAGACTTGGTGTCAGCATCTGAGCCCATCATGGTCAATAATCCATGAAAAAAAATGCAAGAATTATTGGAGGACAAGTGCCCATGAATGCAAGTAGAGACACTGTAGCACACTGCACGCACTCAACTTATCAATTAGTAGTACTGTTTCAACATTTTTCATGTTTAGGCCAAGTGTGAATCATTTTAACTTGTTCATATTAAGGGTAAAGGTGATACCGTGAACCGACGCCCACGGTCGTCCACGCGCGGGCGACCAGGGGCGAACCCTACTCCTCGGCCGCCGCCACCCTCCCCTCCTCTCCCCCACCTCACCGCCGCCGGAGCGCGCCGCTGGAAACTGCGCGGCTCGCCGGGATGGCGGCGGCGGGGCTAAAACCCGGCGGTGGCCCGTCTCCAACGCGAGGAGATGGCGCGGCGTGCCGGGAAACCGCGCGGTGGCGCCGCGCGTGGCTGGGAGCCGGTGCCGCCGCCGCCGGTCCCGACTCCACGCGGCTGGATCCGGCCCACCGCCGCTGGATCTGGCGGCCGACGAGGATGGCGGCGCGGGCGTTGGCAGTGGCCGGCCGTCGGGAGACGTGAGGAGGCGGCACGGCGTGCAGGGCGACGCGGAATGTCGGCGGCTGGTCGGCGCGGGCACGCGCTTGCGGATGCCGGGGAGCCGGCGGTGGCGGCAACTTCCCCGACCAGATCCGGGCTGGCTCCGGCCGGATCTGGCGGGGCGCCCGGAGACCGGCGACAGGCAGGGGCGGCGTCGCGGTGGGCGGGCGTCGGTTTCGCGGCTGGCAACGGCGGCTCGCTCGCGCCGAGCTCGCGTTGTCGGCGTCGGCGTCCGTCCGCGGCGGCGCGTGACGACGGATGTTGCGGCGGCGCGGACGTCACCGGCTTGCGAGGGGCAGTGTCGCGGTGCGGGTGATGGAGCCAGGGCAGCCGGTTGCGCGGGGTGGCTGCGTGTGGTGGCGTTGCACGGCTCGGGTGGGCTCCGGTGAGCTCGGCGGCTGCGCGACGTCGCCTACGTGAGCTCCGGCGGGGTTGCTTGCTGGCGGTGAGCCTCCTGCTCGGTAGGGGGTTTCTTCTGCCGGTGGCGAGTCTCGTGCTCATGTGCGGCGATGTGCGGATGTGGAGTTGGTATGGCTGCTTGTGAGACGTCTTGGACTAATCTATGGTCATCGATGTGGGGGTGCTTGTGTGGGTGATGTGAAGATGCTAGTGAAAGCCTTGCCGTGCCTTTGGCCAGTTCGACGACCACGGCGCCCGCGGGCGCCGTTTCCCTTTTTGGAGGCGTTGTCATGGCGTTCTTTCATATCCCCGCAATCTCCAGGTGTAAACCTAGTTCCGAATTCGGACAAGCGGCGGCGGCACTACGCGTCGTGTCCTCCTTGGGGGCGTCGCTTCGGAGAAGTTCCAACGCATCGACGACTATTGATAGTCTTTTTCGGTTCAAAAGCTTTCATACCTTAGTTCGGCGAGGCCTTCGCCTTCTTGGGTCCGTTTCTTTCTTGTGGTCGGTGACAAGCTCTTCGGTTGTTTTTGCTGATGAAGTCGAAGCTGCTCGCTGATAGGGTGCGGCGATGCTTGGCAACGATGACATGTTGCAGTATCTTCCAAGGAGTTCTGGTGTTGGCTGTGTGAAGGAAGTGGCTCCTCGGTGGCTTCGCTGATGTCCATTGTTGGAGGTCGGAGCTGCTTTTCGCTTTGGCAACCTTCGTGCCTTCAATGTCGCTGCGGTTGTGAAGTCGGCGCTGCTGGGTCGCTTGGGCGGCTAGCTCGGCAACGATAACACGTCTTCTACGATTTGGGAGCTGTTGTGTCGCTTTTGTGTTTAGCCTAGCAGCGACGTCTTGCGTTTGGGCTCCGCTGTCGTTGTTAGATCTGTAGCGGTGGGTTTTAGCCGGTTTTCCTTTAATTAACCGTGCAATTGTACGGTTTTTGGGTCCGGTTTTTCTTATAAACTGGGTCAATTCTCTTCTTCTAATTAGAAACGTGGAACAAAGTTCCGTCCTAGGTTTCAAAAAAAAATATTAAGGGTAAAAGCCATGTGAAATGTTAGAAATATTAGCTGAAAACGTCGACCATATACTCCTAATTGACTGAGGCAGTAGAGGCTAGACATAAACAATTTGCAGAGGTTGGTTTGCCTTTGACCACAGCACTCAAATCCGGGGGCGCCACCGGGAAAATAAAATTCAGCCACAAATTTCTTCTAATTTTTATTTTGAAATTGTTTCAGTTATCCTCTCCCTGTCAAGATTGTCCAGCTAACCTTCCAAATTATGATCTACTCACTCCAGAAGCTTCTGTTGTCCTGTTAACTGATAGCATCTTCTCTTCTAATGTTCTGTGGACTGTGTTTAATTTAGCACTAGCATTTAATTTGGGGCCTACTTGAATATCATTATATTATATTGCTAAAATTTGATGGTTTGCCATTTAATTTGTTTGTAAGTTCACTGAATCATGTGTAATCTAGATAGTACTAAGTTAGTGGTAGGTGTGTTAGCTCCCTCCAACTGAAGAAGATGAGACATGCAAAGCACCCTGCGTCATGTACAACCCACAAAGTTCTAATTAACGTTCTTAACTATATATAAAATATCATAACAATAACTCCTTAATGTGAAAGGTAAATAGCCTCTTTGAGTAATCCACATGAAGATGTGGATCTGAAAGACAAATGAGGATGTAGATCTGAAAACAATTGTAAATAAATTCATAGGATAAGAAAAAGACAATGCTTGATTTGATACTGCTATGGTCACTAGTCATAAGAGAAAATGACTTCAAAGTTGGAATATGTTTTGGATTGTCAATAGGTGCTTCAATTGGACTCTCAGCTGAGCCACCAACCTTACAACTTTTGAGCGGCTAACATAATATTCCTTTCTCCAAATAAGCAAGAATAAAAACCAGAGTTCAAATACAATTAGAAAAGATTAACATTTACTTGCTCGGTTTTACGATTCCAAAAAGAAAAAAAATTCTACTATGTTTTCTCGCATGGTTATTACGACAACGTCTACCACATCATGCATGCTTTTTTTTCATTAACGGTTTGGGTGGGACAAATATACTCCTTCCGTCCTCAAATATAAGAGATTTTGATATTTTCCTTGTACTGTTTCACCATTCGTCTTATTTAAAATTTTTTAAAATTATTATTTATTTTATTTGTGACTTACTTTATTATCCAAAATACTTAAACCACAACTTTTCGTTTTATATTTGTACAATTTTTTTAGAATAAGATGAGTGGTCAAACGTTATAAGAAAATAGTGAATATTCCTTATATTAGGGGACGGAGCTAGTAGCATATATTCGATTAAGGATTTTAAGCAGTGACAGTGATTATAGACCAATCCCTTTGGAATTATGATAATAGAAATTGAATTGAAAAGGGAAAAGGTGAAGGAAAAGAGGTGTGGGTTTAGCCGTTTATTGAAAGGTGAGATGGGGGTAGGTAAGCTAATATAAGCTCTCCACTCCTACACCAACACAACACAAACTCCGATCTTGTTTCTCTCTCTCTCTCTCCCTTGTTTCAGTGGCTCAGAAATTTTCCTCTTTTCTTATTATTGCTTTCCTTTATTTAAGGAAGGAGTTGGGCTCTCTCTCTTTCTCTGAGTCTGAATCCCCACGAGACGAGAAACCTAGCAAAAATCTCGTCTTTCGCCGCGCTCTCCCTCCTCTGATTCCTGCTGTTCTTGATCTTGGATCTCAATTCCCAACCAAGAACACACAGACAGAGAAAGGAAGGAGAAGAAGATGTCGAACGACAACAAGAAGGTGTATACCCTGGAGGAGGTCGCCAAGCACAACTCCAAGGACGACTGCTGGCTCATCATCGGCGGAAAGGTCTCATCTTTTGTTTTTCTTTTCTTTTCACGCTTTTACTTACTTGTACTATTCGATTTCATGTTTCGATTCGTTTCGTTGGTTCTTGGTTCCCTATCCTCCAACAACGTCCTGAGACCTCGATCTGGTCGGAGTCCACGACCAGATCTTGGCCGCGGCGCAGATCTGGCCCTCCAGCCGCCGGCGTGGGGACCTTGCCAGATCTGGTCTTCTCCGACGGTGGCCAACTTCTCTTGTCCCTTGGTTGCAGCCACCAAACCTCTTCCTCCCCTCCTCGATCCAACCTTGGTCTTGTTCATCGACTGGCCACTAAACCCCAAATAAGCGAGATAGAATTTGGATTCGTTTCGTTGGTTATTGTTTCTCTGATGCTGTGATGGTGGCTAGATCATGGCAGATCTGCCCAGTAAAGTCGAATTTTGTTTGATTCCACCGCACCTCCTGAGGAATCGGTCCAATCCTGTGAATTCTTCTCTTCTTTCCTGCTGATTGGATTGTCTACATGGGCTTTACCTGGAAACAGGGGTGAGTGCTAGCAGATTCAAACATCATGGACTGACTGCTCCTAAACAAGTTCCATATGAAAACCTGTTCTACATGCTTTTTTTCTTTTACTCTTCACTCGTTGTCAGTCAAACACTGCAAAATTTGTCCCTGCGCCTATTCTGCAAGAGCTTCTTGTTAGTACAACTGAAGAATCAATCCTCTGTTCCAACTTGGCATCTGGACAGAATAATGAATGTTTCATAGGAAAGGCTCAGCTCAACTAAGTAAATCATGTTGATTGGCCTTAAAACACACTTCATTAAGAGTCTGTTTTTTTTATATTGGACATGATAAGAATAATATGGCTGTTTTTTATTATTAATGTTTTTTCTTGGTAACAGTGCTTCTATTGATGAACCTACCCTGTTTACCTGATCTCACCAGTGTTCTGCAATACTATCCAGGTATACAATGTGTCGAAATTCCTTGAGGACCATCCAGGAGGTGATGATGTCTTGCTATCTTCAACTGGTACGCCTTCTCAATTCTCATGTTCTGGCCTTCTGAGTAGTGACCACTACTGATGAATTAACTGAGTTTGCAATGGATGGTTTAGCTTACACTTTGAAATATACATGGACCTTCTGCAGGCAAGGACGCGACTGACGATTTTGAGGATGTCGGGCACAGCACGACTGCTCGTGCGATGATGGATGAGTATTACGTTGGCGACATCGACACATCCACAATACCCGCGAGGACGAAGTACGTTCCCCCAAAGCAACCACACTACAACCAGGACAAGACCCCGGAGTTCATCATCAAGATCCTCCAGTTCTTGGTTCCCCTCGCCATATTGGGCCTGGCTGTTGCAATTAGGATCTACACCAAGTCGGAGTCCGCTTAGTGCTGTTCTCTTAGTGTTATAAGAGTGGAAGGTACCGAATAAGTTAGCAAGAGTTTTGTGTGATTCATACCAGTGTAACATGTCATGAATTCGTCGAATGTTCTGAAGATGCTGTGGGTTTTGTGGTCCTGGGATGTCCACTTCGGTAAAGATCGATAAGATTCAAAGTACTCGTTAATCGTTATACATTCTGATGATGGATCTGCTCATTGTTATTAATTGTTAGAAACCTATACATACACAAGGTGGTGATTTTATTGGCGGGTGTTTCTATTGAATTTCTGTTTGTTAGGAATGCAGATTTAACAGGTGTTGCATTTGCTTGTTTTTTGTGTCGCTAGCTTTTCTATAACTGATCGATAATGTGGCTTGTGTAGTGGATGTTTACTCCCTCCGTCCCATAAAAAACCAATCGATGTTGGCTAGGCTAGTTTGTTTGGGACGATTCATTGTACTAGAATGTTGGCTAGACTGGTTTGTTTGGGACGGATGGAGTACGTAATGGCTAGACTATCCATCCGTAATACTGGCTAGACTAGATAATATAGTGGAGTTTCACCAGATGAAGAGGGGAAACCTAACCAAGTCAAGACTCAAGACTGGCTGAGTTGTTAACCATATAGTCACGCCACATGAATTGATTTTGCCACAACAGAGATTACATGTCCAGCTTTATACGTAACCATTTCCATTATCTATAAAAAAATATCCAGCTTTATCAGACCAAGTAACCTTCACAAGCATATTTGGAGTAATAAAACAATGGTTTCCGTAACACAGCCAGTTGGAACTACATATCATCCTGATTAACAACGGTCAACAGAAGTTTCTCCTTACATTGGACAGCCATGACACGTCGAGATAACTGGACATCACCATTGTCATCCATCACACAGCATGTTATTGTGCTATCAAGAAGAACTACTCCATCTTGGATGTTGGTGGTGCAGGCTGCGATTTCTCCACTGAAACATCCCTCGACAGCCTTGATTTCAACAGTAGCCTCCACTGCCTCTTTAACCACTGCATATCTCAACTCCACGGTGCCTAAATCCAACTTACTCTTGTCAAAATATATCCCATAACAGGAGATGTTATGCTAATCATATTAGAGACAATTTCAGTCTCTCGAACTTTGCTATCCAGTATGTGAGTTGAATAAAGAGTTCATGATTTTTTTTTTAAAAAAAAACCTAAACCCTAAACTTAAAAAAAAAAAACCTCCACAGTGCCCAGCTTACCAACAAAAGTGTTGTTTTTTCACCTTAATTTCGACAATTTATATTACTCTGAATGCCATCAATCATAAGCAATCCTTTGCTGTGCCCTTTTCTCTTCCCTCTTAATCGGTCATCCTTAATACTGAGATCAACCTCAAAATACACAGCGTCTTGTACCAAGAGTCCTCGAGTTGGTCCAGTCATGAATCGTCCTGTGAATCAAGTAACATGCATGATAATGTTGTGTTACTTTGAATGCAACTGTAATAATAAATATAACAACAATTTCAAGTAGAAACGTCATATAAATTATAAAAGCTATCACCGAAGATGATACAAGCATGCGTGTGTTCGCATATGCTGATTCCCAACCCGGCGGAACAGTAACACGGAAAACGGAACAGTCCATTAGCACGTGATTAATTAAGTATTTGCTATTTTTTTTACAAAAATGGATTAATATGATTTTTTAAGCAACTTTTGTGTAGAAACTTTTTTTTTTAAAAAATACACCGTTTAATAGTTTAAAAAGCGTGCACGCGAAAAACGAAGGAGATGGGTTGGGAAAAAGAGGTGCCGAACTCACCCCTAGGTCTACATCTACATCTTACTAATGCCACGACATGGTCAACGGCTGACATGTAGAACTCTAACTTGTTTACCATATAACTTTTCGACACCGACCTCAACATCCTCTCCAACCTCCCTTGCCGGCCGCCGGCTGCGCCCAACGGCCCCAGCTCCTCCCCCACCGCCGCCACCCAGTTCTTCCCTATCGCCCGCCGGCCGCACCAAGCTCCTCCCCCGCCGGCCGAGCCCGCTACATCGTGCCCAGCCTCTCCATCACGCCCATCGCCCGTGGAAAGGGGAGGGGAAAGGGGAGGAGAGAGAAGTAGAAAGAACATGCTGATATGTGGGACCCACATAGGTCCCATGCTAAGTCAGCTGCCACGTAGGATAAAACCGGATGCAATACTGCCCTAGGAGCTATTGTGACCGGTTTTGATTAGTTAAGAGACGTCGGATATCTGGTTTTACGGTTTGAGAACATTTTTATAACTCGATGACGAGTTCAGGACCTGCGGTGTACTTTTTCCGACTTTAGAAGGGAACAAGAAAAACAATTTGGGTTACGTGATGGGAGATAAAGAGAAATGAGGTTAAAATATTTAGTGTAAATTTCACAAAATCTACTACAGATTTTAAGATATTATATCACAGAACTATAAATGTAGCGCTAATTTTATAAAAAAAAACTATGGATTTTAGACCAAGTATCATACAACTACAAATTTAATATTTAGGTTATCATAAACCTATGTATTTTAGAGTTTAAATCTCTAACACTACCGTTATATTGAAGCTATGAACATTATACTTTTATGATTAAATTAGCACTAAACATGTTGTGATAAATTTATTAGTTAATCTGTAGTTTTGTGAAACTCCATCTTAAATAGTAGTTCCACGATAAATTTGATGCTGAATTTGTAATTTTGTGATTCAACATTTTAAATCTGCTGTTTGTTTTAGTTTGAACAAAATATTTTTAGTTCTGTGAAATTTACTCAAATATTTATTATTTACACCAACCAAATATTTTACAGATCATTTAATTAACTATTATACTACCAGTACTTATTATTCTAAGGTTGACCAAACAACTTTCACACGCATCTTGCAAAGACCACAGCTAATCTCCTCCTCATCAGAGCCTCTAGTGAATGGACTCAACTCCAAACTGCAACCCGAGAAGACATTGTCATTCTGAGCATGAATATTCAGTATCAACATTTCATTCACTGATACTACCACGACACGTCGCAGTAGTTGAATAACTCTGTCGTCACCAACTGTGGTTGAACAACCAACAACATCGCTGTCATACAACAATACAGCATGATTTGGGACATTTGTTGTGCAAGCAGTAATTTTCCCATGAAAAACTTGAGCATCTGACAGGATCTTGATCTCAACTGTACCTTCCAGTGCTTTCTTAACACAGTTAAATACAAGTTCCACCTCACTGAGCCTACTCTCCAAGGTTTCACTCACAATCTTAGGCTGAGACTCAATAAAATAGATCTTCATATCAACAAGTCCTTTACTAAATTCCCTGTCTATGCACTCTTCATCTTCCCTGATCTTCAGATTTATCTCAAAAAATATTTCACCCCAAAAAACAATTCCTCTACTTGGGCCCGTCAGAATTAGATCTTCATTCTACAAGGGGATTACACAACGTCAGCAATGTCACGCTAATTTTACGTACAAAAGCAGATGCCAGTTATTCATAGAATATAATCCTGTTACTATATTGACCACCTTAACATCTAGACTCAGATCAGGAACTTTCTTCAGATTAAATTGAATTGCTATGGCTGAGCTCATCAAATGCAGTAATTTGGCTGCAACAATTATAATATAATGACAAGACTAATGAAATTATGATACCAAAACATGACTTATAATGATGATATCCACAAAAATGTAGTAGTCACACAAGACATGAATATAGACAACTTAAATATGATAACGTCATAATCATATCTAGCTTTAGAGTGCTTTCAACCATACAGGACTGTAAAGAAATAAGTTCGATCATCAAATAAAATAGGGAGAAATTTGTAGTGCTAAGACATATTCTATGAAATACCTCTGACCGAATAACTTGGCAATTGTCCCTATTGCGCGGGAAGATGGTGATGCAATTAAAATCTAATATGTCTCTGACTATCACAGTCCCATACAAATTGATAGGATAGCCAACATCTGAGGACAATATCTTCACAGAGAGTACATTTAAGGAGCTAGTGAATTGATGGTCCTCTTTGATGATGGAATCTGCAAAGCGCATTGGACCATGTTGTGCTGAGAGAAATGAAAATATAGTAAGTATGCGCAAGGGGAAGAATAGTACGTTAACGGAAGCAAGTACTGAAATTTACTGATAATGCACAAAAATGAGAGAAGTTTGCAAAGGCTCCAAGTGTGGGTTCGGTCAAAACAGTAGGTTTCTATATACTCCTTTAAAAGACCTCAATGGGGGTGGTGGAGAATCTGCCACCATCACCTATCCACTGATGTAGGTTCATGCTGTCAGTGTAACCACGGTTGTGCTTGAAATTCACATGAGTGAATCCATCATCTACCACTCTACATCAAAAGGTGAGCCATATGAACCAGCATCATCCATTCACATCGAATTCCAAAGAAAATATGTTTTTTTTCAATTAACATTGGAAAAAGTAATGACATAATTTATTTTTAATTTCGTTGCAATGCAGGGCATTTAGCTAGTAGTATTTAATTTTGTTAAGCCTTTGTAAAATTTAATCACAAGATGCAGAAAACTGATGAAACAATCATCACAAAACAAAGGAAAACAGAATAATAATAAGAGTAAATTTCACTTTGGGCCAGTTTTAATAGCCAAAGTTTCACTATGGACCAGGCCTAGGCCCATATTTTTACATAACACCAGGTAATATGACCTTCCATTGCACTTTGGACCAGGCTGCATTGATTTGGGCCGCCACGTCGTCTTCAGCCCAATCCACGTGAGCAGCAGCTGGTGGACTCAGTTCACGGAAGAATCATACGGAGCAGCCGAGACACGACGCGTATAAAACTAGCGCCAGCCTCATCCGCTCGAGAGAAAACTAGCGCAGCAGAAAGGCTGGGCGCCCCACCGCCGCCGCAGCTGCCACCGCCACGAGCCCCGCCGCCGTCGTCGCCGCGGCCGTCGCGTCCGCCACCATCGCCATCGCCGCCGTCGTCGTCGCGTCCGCCACCATCGCCGTCTTTGCCGCGGCCGCCACCGTCTCCATCACCACCGCCGAGGGGACTACACAAGCTCGCACGATGGGAGCACTACTCAGCAGCCACCAGGTGATCCAATTTACCACCCTTGATCCATCTCTAATGTCAACTTTAGTGATTCCCGGTGAATTGACACCTCAAGCAGGTTACAGTAGCAGTGGAATCGAGCAACTCGAATTGGTCGAATCGAGGGGTGAATGTTGAATCGCCGATAA